ACAAACGAAATTTAATTTCACAACAAACTTATAAATTCATTGAAAGTAGTCAAATATTTGTTTCATTAAACAAATATAAATAGGGATTGCAATCCCGCAATTTCGCGGGATCCCACATTATTTTAGCGCATGTGAGATCCCGCAAAACTACTGCGGGATTTGCGGGATCCGCAGGATTTGCTGAGTTTTGAAATTATTGCTTTTAAATAAAAAAAAGCAATTCTATAAACAAAGACGAAAAAGATATCAAATTAAAGTATTTAATGTATTTGCATAACAAGTTCATTTAAAAGTTTACTAGTCATTTAATGCACAATAAAATGTATACTGAGAAACTTGTTTAAATTTTTTTTGTTTTGTTAATTATTAGTCATAAAATAGTCATTAAGTGCACAACGAAATGTATACTGAGAAACTCGTTCAAATTTTTTTTGTTTTGTTAATGACTATGTTGAAATTTTTGTTGATGAGTATGTTGAAAACGTTAAATTGAAAATGTGATTAATAAAAAGCGCACTACTTTTTAAAAAGACTTTAAAAATTATTTACATCAAGATTTTAAAACAAAAGTACCTACTAAGCATGTCGCAAATTAAAACTATATGGTTAAATTATTATTAATGGAATTATATATAGAATATATATGGAATTAAAAACAATAAAATGGAATTATATATGGAATTAAAAAAAGTAATAAAGGAGAAAATGCAAAGTGCATGTTATGTTCGGCTATTTTAAAAATTAGTCAAGGATCAACAAAAGGGTTATTAATTCATTTAAAAACTAAACATGGAACTGATTTAAAATTAAACGTTTTACAACAAGACAGAGCTTCAACTTCAAAACAGCATGAATCAGTTGAACTAGAGTCTAAAATATACATCAAATGCGAAGACAAAGAGGTAATTCTATCAAAAAGGTCAAAACAATAGACACGTTTTTCGTAAAAGAACTTTCTATGGAAAAAATGGTATCGCGCATGGTTGCTAAAGATGGCTTTACATTTAATAGTTTTTGCACATCTTCAGATTTGCGGTATTTGTTTTCAAAGAGTGGTTTCCGGCCCCCTACTTCACCTAATACTATAAGATCGATGGTAGTAAAATTCTCAGATTCTGTAAAAGCCGATATAATGCAAAAATTTATATCACTAAAAAAACAAAATCAAAAGTTTTCAATAACGTTTGACGAATGGACATCACAAAATAGTCAGAGATACCTTAACTTAAATATACATATGGAGGCAAAACACTTTATTCTTGGATTGATTCGAATCCATGGATCGTGTAATGCAGATTATTGCGTCAAGTTAGTTGTAGGAAGGCTAAATAGCTTCAATATCGACCTCCAAAAAGACATTATCGCCATGACCACTGATGGAGCAAGTGTGATGGTGAAAGTCGGTAAAATGATGTCTTGCTATCATCAACTATGTTATGCTCATGGAATACAACTTGCAGTTATTGATATCTTATACAAGAAAAACAACGGAGAAGTCGAAGAATCACTTACTACAAATGAAAATTGTGAAGAAGAAGATGAACATGAGAACACTGATGATGAAGTTATAAATAAAGAATATGGTTTGACAATAATTTTGGATCGACCATCTGCTGAATTGGTTAGCAATTATAAAGATCTCATGAAAAAAGTGAGAAAGGTTGTAAAAATATTTAAAAACTCTCCTGTCAAAAATGATACATATTTACAGAAGTATATCCTACATGAACACGGCAAAAAGCTTAAGTTGATTCTTGATTGTAAAACTAGGTGGAACAGTATGTTCCATATGTTAGAAAGATTTCATAGACTAAAAGTGTGTATTGAAAAAGCCTTAATTGATGTTGGGTCAGAAATTCGTTTGACCCAAGAAGAATGGTCCCAAATTAATGACTTAATTATTTGTCTGGCACCACTAAAACTTGGTCTCGAACTATTATGCAGGAGAGAGTCAAACCTTATCACTGCGGAAACTACTTTTAAATTTATGTTAGATAAATTACAAAAGCAATCATCACTTTTGAGCATTGATTTAGCCGCGGTACTTTGTGAGAGGTTTACACAACGTCGTAATAAGAATTTAAATGGACTACTGGTTTACTTACAAAATCCTAACAAATATGAACAAGAAATTTAAAAAAATGAAAATACTTTTTCAATGTCAAAGAGAACCGTTATGCGTCAAGAAATAAAAAAAATATTGACAAGAGTTTATACAATTGAAAGAAATAAAGACGAAGAAAATGAACTCTAAGAAAAAGAAGCTGTAGATTCTATTAACAATTCCCAAATACACTTACTCCTACAATTCTATCGCTGAAAAAAGAATTGGAAAATCATATACAGAAAGACAAGAAAAGCTGGACAGAAAATGTAAAGGAGATACCAAATTTAGATTCTTTAGACTTTGATAAATTATAGAAGCAGGAAATATCTGCCTATGAAAATAATGGAGTAAGAGGCAAGTTTCTAGATATAGCTCATAATTACTTGATAACCATATCACCAACAAGCGTAGAGGCCGAGCGAGCTTTTTCAGCTGCTGGCTATATATGCAGTCGTATATATAGCTTTTTCAGCTGCTGGCTATATATGCTGGCTATATATGCAGTCTGGCTATATATGCAGAGTAGATTATGTGATGATACTTTAAGTAGGGTCTGTTTGTTAAGAGCACATTTTTTACAATGATACTTTCTCATACTTATCTTTAAAAATAAGTAAAGCTAAAAGACGCTCTACGTAAAGCTAAAAGACGTTTTACGTATTTTTATCTTATCCTTTTGTTCATTAAATTGAGAATCATATTGATTTACAAATGAATTGTGTTTTTGGCTTCATTTACCTCATCTTATCAATTTAATAAGTTGAGTATATTTTTTCTGAAATAATTGAAAGAAAAATACAACTATCATTTTGCCTTTTATAACGTGCATAAGAAATCTACCAATCCCGCGCGGGATCCGCACATAAATTAAAAAATCCGCGCGGATCCCGCGGGATTGAAAAGTGTGCGGGATTGCATTCCCTATGTGTAAATGCTAACTACACAGATTCTGTTTGAAGTCACGTGATATCTAAAGGCACAGTAAAATAAATTCAAAAAACTTATAAGAATAAAACTCATAAAATAAAAATAAAAAATAAACAAGCTTACAGTTAATAAAATATTAAGGCCCATAAGATATCTGTGAACAGTATATTATTATTGTATGAACTGAACGTTTTAACAACTTTTCTTTAGTCGGCAAAAGACTGGCTAATTTTTCAGATGAATTTTGTGGGATCATTAATTAGCCATTGTAAAGTAGTTACATTAGACTTACTGTATCATTGGTGATATTATTGTCAACATTAATATAATTTTCAACGTTATTGTTCCTAAAAACAATATAGGTATTATATGATACAAACAGTAAACTCAAACATTTTAAATCAATATATGCCATTGTAAAAGTATTAGTTACGTTAGATTTAGTGTATTGAATCATCGGTGATATTATTTGAAATAATATTTTGTCTTTTTTTTTTTTTTGGTGGTTTATTAGGATGAGTATTTTTTCTGTGTGCTGGGAAATCAAATATAGAAGGAGTTGCATCATTTTTTAGTTTCTTTTACATCTAGATTCAATAAAGTACCAAATAATAAAGTTATTTTAAGCAAAAAAATAGTTTGACAATCATTTTTCCATATGCTAAAACTTTTAAGAAATAATGATATACAACGCAGCACTCTTAAAATAGTCAAAGTATACAGTACTAGGAATAATGAGAAGTATCAACTTTGGTAATTGAATATATATTAGTTTACTTCAAACTCCACTCTTTAATGGAATCAATTAAACATGCTGTCGAAGTGTTAAATTGTTAAGATGCAAATCTATCAAAATCACAGAGTAATTCCTTTTATGTTACAGAGGCTAATCTAAACACAATCAGTTTAGATGAATTTAAGATATAACAACATAAAATAAAACAATTTGTTTAGCAGGAGAGCTGGCATTTCAAATTTTTAGTATAAATGATCCTTGTATATTGACAAATAATGGCAATAAAATCAATTAAAACAAATGTTTTACTTTAAGATGAGCTAAATTTGTTTTTAAAAAAGTATATATCAAAAATATCAAAACCTTAATAAATTAAAAAGAAGTTAACTTTATTTTAAAAAATACAGACATTCAAACAGAGAACTTTCAAAGACTGTAAATGGGTTTTTATGCAATAATCCAACATTTACTGATATGAAGCGCGTTTTTTTAGTTTCTTATATTAATTAATTCTTATATTAGTTTTTTAGTTTTTTATATGCGCAAATAAATTTGTTCCCGTTTATCTGGTAAATCTATAAACTCTTTTCTAATTGGTTACGAAAAGGTCGATTTTAAATAAACCTTAGTAAAACAAATCTTAATATTAATTTATTACGCGAACTAGATATAGTCAAGGAAACGATTTTCTTGATAACATATTAAAGGATAATTATAGATTTTCTTAATTTTTTTAATTGATAGAAAATCTCATACTGATTTAAAGGAATGCTTCGAGCTGATTAAAAAGCTAGAAGACTCAATGGCGTTGCTAGGGGGATACGGGCCGCACCGGGTGACACAGGGGGGTGACACTAAAATTAATAAAAAGCAAATATGCCAGAACTTTTTTTTTAAAGGGCCTTGTTTTTTTTTTTTAAATAGAAATTTCTAGATACAGAGAACTTTTTAATTTCGTCTTTCACCTGTTAGTCCAGAGGGGTGATACCAAATGTTTACCGAACTCTCTTCGACGCCACTGAGAAGACCGATATTAAGTTAACGTATAAGAAATGGTGATGACAAAGATATTTTATACTTAAGAAACTAATTGTTTTCTTTGCTCTAAATATACATTTTATTGTTTGTGCTAATATATTTTAATTGAATTCGTATCAAATTAAAAAAATATATTATAAAATGATTAAAAAGACCGCTTATTTCTAATTACTGAAAACAAATCTACAGCATCTCTGTGTTAAAGTTTAAAATATTTTCTATGGCTAAATACGTTAAATCAAATTCTTGTATAATATTAACCTGCATTTATCTCAAACTGTGTAAATTAGTGGTTTTCGATAAATGTTTTAAATATTATTAGATTGGATAACTCTTTTATTCGAATTAAAAATAAAATGTTATATCAAAGTAATGAAAATACGCTTTTATAAAGATTTTAAAAATAGTAATTTAGTGAAATTCAGAAAGAAAATAAATGTAAGACACAAACAAAACGATGAAATGATTGCAGTTGAACATTACGAAGTTATTTGGATTTTTTGTCAAATGTTGCAAAAGTAACATGAATTATAGTTGTTATTTAGCTTAATTGATATCATGCATTGTAAGATTTTTAGTTATATAAAATACTGTTGGTATCGTGAGTATACTGGCAAAACATGTTAAGTCAAAAATTGGCAGTTATTATTTGAATGATACAGTATTGTTAAAGCTCTAGAAACTGGCAAAATACAGTCAAAATACAGTCAAACATATATTCTCTGTTTATAAGAATACATTTAGCGTTAACTCATAAAACGGGTATTTTATTCAGGCTAAAAACTTTTAAATTAAAAAAATAAAATTTTTAAATATTTCCTTAATAAATACTTAACATGGTGTATTAAAATGTCAATGCCAAATGCAATTTAATAAGATTATAAAGTTTCAAATTGGAAACTTAATTTCTCTAAACAGGGTTTTTTGAGTTTACGTTATTTGCAAGTGTACTCACGATATGTTTTTTTTTTTTAGAGCACCCAAGCGAAAATGGGAGACAAAGTTTAAAAGCTGTGAAGCTGACTTGCGTTTGCACTTTCAAATACTGGAAAAACTATTTTTTTGAATTTTTATAATAACTTTGCGCCCTGTTTTTATTTACTATTTTTATTCTGTTTCAAATATTTTCGAGATTTTTCAATAATATATGAATTAATAAATTTAGTTTTCTCGCATTACTTGAATTTTTTTCAAACCCAATTAAGTTTAATTTATTTCATACACGTCAATAATTTTCAGTTGTTTTTTTTTTCCGCATATCACAAACACGTTTTCTTTAATTTTTTTTAAACTTAAACATATTTTTTTCATGCAAATCTACTATTATTTTTTATGCATATCTACTCGTATATATTATTAATACATAGTTAAATAATAAGCGATAATAAATACGTTTTTTTTTAATATTACAGTCGAAACCAAATCCTTTAAACCTAGTATTCGTTGATGAATTTGAATAATTTATATCTCAAGGGATTTGTGAAAACGAAATTAAATATTTTGTAACAAAATATAAAAAAATCTCATGGCTTTTTCATGTAATGTTTTTCTTATGGTTAGAGGAATTTTCAAACCTCTAGTACTACAGCGTAGGCTATGTGTCACACAAAAACTACCTTTACCTCCGTTCACAAATAAAACAGCGATTGAAAAAGTTCGCTTAGCTGAGGATTTGTGGAACTCTAAGAATCCAGTGTTAGTTTCTATGGGATACACTAATGATTGTAGTTGGCGGAATCGTTCAGAGTTTATTAAAGGTTTTTATGAAGTATTTTATGTGAAAATAGCTTTTTTTAAAAAAAATAAATTAGCAGTAATCTTTTGCTTATTTTTGTATAATAAAGGTCGTGGAGCAATACAAATGTTTTTGCAGACTAAATGGAGTAAAGAATTAGATTATAAACTCATAAAAGAACTTTGGTGCTACAAAGACAACCGAATATCGGTCAAGTTTCAATATGAATACATGAATATAAACGGGCAATGGTTTCGCGCATACGGAAATGAAAACTGGGAGTTTAACGAGAACGGACTAATGACTAAAAGAGAAGCCAGTATCAACGACTTGCCCATAGAAAATCACGAAAGACTCTTTCTTTGGAAAAATGATGGACCCAGGCCTATAGACTATCCCGGGTTGACACAACTTGGTTTATGAAAAAAAGTATTTTTAGAGTATATACTATCTTGTGGCTTATCTTCTAAAAATCTCTTAAATATTGTATTTTAACTATCTTACGAATCTAAATTTAAAATCTAAAAATTTAAATTTTGTCTTTAATGCTGTATTTTTGTGTTTTCATTATAAAGTCAAGTTAATGGGCAGGGTTATATGTAAAGAAAATTTGACTAAGGTCGAGCTTAACTTAATAACAGACTAATAATGGGTTTTAAAAACTTTTTTTTGCAAGCAAATATGCCTATTGGTAATTAATAAGATAGTTTACTGTTACATTATAAATCCTCAGCTAAAACGTAAGCCAAGTAAGGTACATTTAATTTTGTCTACCACTAAAGTAAGTCGATGCGTGTACTCTTAATAATTTGGAAAATTTAAGTATACAAATTTATTTTATACAACTAAATTTTCGAAGTTCTTATGATTTTTTTTAGGTTTTCAACTGCGTAACGTATGCAGTTAAAAATTTAAAAGGTTTTAATTTTTTCTTGTTTATTTACAGCGCCAATTTATAGGTTGATTGGTTTGTATTTTTAGCAAAATTCATTTTGCTGGTAATAGCTTGCAATAAATTACTAAAGAAACTTAAACTATATATCAAATACGATATTACCAATCTAGTCTAGTAGCTTTGTTCTAATATTCTTTTAACTCTTTTCAAATTAAACTGATATATATTTATACTTGGTATCAATTAGGTTTGAGGTTTTTAGAAAACTTACTTTATAAATTTTATTAAATATCTATGTGTTAACATCAATTCAAACTATCTTTTGACGGCTATCTAATTGACTTTGCTGATTAAATTTAAGCAAACCAAATATTATTGCAAGTTTGCAAAAGTTAACTTAAGGCAATACTAGAAATTGGGATTAAAAAAGAAAGATTAATTAATGGGGACGGATAGGTTGATGTTCTAATATCCAGACATGCTTTGTAACGTTAAAATACTAAAATCTTACATTAGGTTCGATGGGAAATAACCTTGCTGCGGACTAGCTAGCCTCGTAGCGCATTATTTTAATTGCCATTATTGTTAAAACCTTTAGTTTTACTCGTAAAAATAAATTTTAAATTCATGGTTCTTTGAATTAAAAAAGGTTTTACGATCTTAAACATCTTCATATTAATATCACATAATCATACAAATCACGTAATCATACAAATCATACAAAAACTCACCGCGAACGGACGTGTTTTAAATTTTTTTTTTTTTTTTTTTTTTTTTTTTACAAAAAAAATGTCTAAGGGATTATCATTTACTTAAATTAAAGAATTACTTGAAGTGCACGAGAACACAACATTAAAAATCTTTGGCGAAAAAGTTAATAGGATGGAGGAAAAATGGAAGTACTTTAAAGCAAAAGTTTAACTTTAAAGAAATAGCAGATATTAAAAATGCAATGACTTTTCAAAATGAAATGTATGAAAAAGCGACAAAAGAATGAAGCGACGATTGCGTTGTGTTTAAGAATATCTTAAACACAACACAAAAGAAAATGGAAAAGCTTTAAATAATGAAGAATTTAAAGATAAACTTGCGGAAATGGAAGACAGAAGCAGAAGAAAAAATATACGATTTGATGGCTTTGAAGAGAAGGAAAATAAAACGTGGGAGGAAATCTAAAGTTTTCTTAAAAGAAAAACATGACGAACGAAGTATATATCGAGAGGGCTCACAGAACAGAATGAAAAATGAAGTTGGAATGAACTATTATTGCAAAATTCTTAAACTATAAAGTCAAAAAAACGTTTTAAAAGAATACCGTTAATAATAATATTTCTCAAATTATGGAACGAAAAAATATTCTTGAATGAAGATTTTAGCGTAAGAAAGTTAAAGATATTTGTGCCAACGGTAAGTATGCTAAAGTAGTATGCAATAAATTAGTTATACGGGAATTTTTATTTTATTTTTGGATTTCAAATAACTAAAATGGATTCAAATGAATCTGTTGATTTTCAATCAACTTTAATTAACTAATTTCAAACTAATGATTTTTTTACTGGACAGCAATAATGGCTCTGGCCTAAATTATTTTAGTGGAGCTGGTGGTTTAAAAAACAAGTGCAGTTGTATGTCCAAGAATTGGAAAAATTTATTCATTTTATTTTTTTACTTTATTTGAATTTTCATGCTATATTTTTCTATACAATTTTCTTATATCCGAAGATGTTGTTGGCTTAGCATAGGAACAGCCACAAATAGTCATTAAGACTAATCCAAAGTAGCGTGCGTTATTGACCAACATTTTTGCGTACCAAAGTACTACTCAAGCGCTGAGTTAGCGGTCGCAGGATTTGAACTCGTATCTTACAACTGCCCGGGTTTAAACTTTTTGATCGACGCTAAGCTATCCAGCCACAAATTGAATCGGATAAGTTGAATGTGATATATATAAATATAAGAAGTTTGAAAAAAAACTTTAAAAATTTTTGTATTTTAATTGAAGAAACTTTTAACATTTTTAGCGTAATTGCTTATAAGCAAAATCACACCACGTTTCTGTTATAACAGAAACATGGTGTGATTCTAATGACGTTTATTTTATTTCTAATTTTAACTTGCCTGGATATAAAATGATTTCATTAACGCGTAAAATTAATAAATGTGGTGGCGGCGTGATTATTTACGTTAAGGAATGCTTGAAAATGTTAACCAGGCTTGACATGAGTACTTCTGATAGCAATATAGAGGTTTTATCAATTGAATTAATTATTAAAAAAGCTGAAAATATTATAATTAATTGTTGCTATCGCCCACCATCGGGCGTAATTGAAAGTTTTAGTTCATATTTACATCATGATATAATTAAAAAAACCAATCACGAAAATAAATTTAACTACTTAATAGGTGATTTAAATTTATGTTACTTCGAATATCACGTAAAACCCAGCATTAAAAGTTTTTTTAATGACATTTTTAAAAATGGTGCGGTTCCACTAATCACCAAACCGACCATAATTCAATCAACATCTTCCCTGAATGATAATATAATAACAACTGATTTATTTAACGAATCTCTTAAAAAAGGCATAGTTAATGACGTTTCTGATCATTTCCATGTTTTCTTTTCCATTAATACTATAATAGAAATGTCATCAAATACAAATCAAGTTTTTTTGAAACGTATTTTTAATGAAAATAATTTGGAAACATTTAAAAAGCAATTGTCTCTTCTTCATTGGGGGGACATTTCCAATTTAGATGATGCTAACCTGGCTTACAACACATTTTTTGAAATTTATATATATATATATATATATATATATATATATATATATATATATATATATATATATGATGTTAATTTTTTAAAAATCAATACATTGTAAATTAAAAAATATAAATTCCCCATGGATTACCAAAGGGTTAAGAAAACCATCCAAAATCAAATAAAAGTTGTACATTAAATTAAAGTCAAAGAAAAAGTCTTAGAAAAAATTAATACAATGATTTACTTGAGAAATATAAATTAAATTCTAAGCGCACATAGCACAGCTGGCTATCATAAAAATATTTCACTTCTGGATACCAGCGTGTAACTTTGCATAGTGATAATGGACGGTATGAGCTACAAAAAAAAAAAAGCGAGACACAAACTTGTTATGCATCTAGAAACGTTTTAGAAATGAATTATTCAAAATGTCCGCCATTGGACATTTTGAATGTATTTAAATGGTCATAACTGTAGAACCAGTAGTGATATGAGCAGCCGTAGCTCAGTGGTAACGCACTTGCCTCAGATACAGAGGATCCTTGGTTCAAATCCTATCTCTGAGCAAGTTTTGCGATATCAGTTAGGAAGGAGGCGTGAACTTACAATTAAATGCTCATCCACGGTGCTCTGTGATAAGAACGTAAGGACTTCTTATGGCACCTGAATAAAATTAAAAAAAAACAAAAAACATCCACTTCAAATAAACGTCGATTTATCTAAGAGAATAGTTACATAAAACTGACTGAAATTAATGTTTTGAAATTTCAAGATGGCTGCCATCGGCCATCTTGAAAGTTTTTAAATGGTCATAACTTTAGAACTAGTAGTGACATCCACTTAAAATAAAATGATTTAACAAGAAACTCATATTTATATGGAAAGGAATATGTAATAATACATTAAAGTTCATGATACGTACGTACTTCGTTAATGAAATTGTTAAATGTTCTTGGCTCTTGCTATAAAATAAAAAAGTCTACTGACAATGAAATTGTTCACTTGTCAACAGCAAAACCGAGTATAATCCACTAGCATAAACCAACCGACCACACTCGCATCATACGAATCCGTCAAAGAAAAACTTTTGAACCTGAATAAATCCAAATTAATGGGGTTTGATGGTATTCATCCACGCGTCCTGAAATTCTGTGTTGCAGGTTTTCCTATCGCTTAAAGCTGGAGAAGTACCGTCTCAATAGAAAAAAGCCGAAATTACTCCTATTTTTAAAAAAAGCTGCAATTTGAACCCCTTAAACTATCAACCTTTCTCACGCACTTCTGTCCCTTGCAAGGTAATGGAAAGCTTTTTACACAAACACATTAATGACCACTTAAACAAAAATAAACTCATCAGCTCTGCTCAACACGGGTTCCAAAAAAGAAAAGGTTGCGTCACAAACCTACTCGAAACTTGCGATATCCTGACAGAAGCTGCCCGCAAAGGTTACCCAACCGATATTATATTCACAGACTTCGCTAAAGCATTCGACAAAGTTCCGCACCGTTGTCTGCTGCTCAAGCTAAAATCATATGGAGTGTCTGACAACTTGCACAATTGGATCAAAAGCTGGCTAACCGATCGGCTACAACGCGTAACCATTGGTAACAATAACTCTAATTAGAAAACTGTCTCTAGCGATGTGCCACAAGGATCTGTTCTTAGGCCACTCCTGTTCTTTATCTACATTAACGATTTGCCAGACAAAATACAACACCACTTTAAAATGTATGCAGATGACTGTAAAATAATCGGAACTATAGAATCAAACCATGACATCCTCAAACTCCAAGCCGATATCCACGAAGCAGTGAAGTAGTCGCACACATAGCTTATGTCATTTAATGTCAAAAAGTTCAAAGTCATACCGAGCGCAGCAACAA